AACCAACGACAATTAAATGTTCAATAGTGACTCTGTTCGTAATTTAGCTGTAGAAATGTCAAAAATTGATTTTTACCAAATGTCTGACGGGAAAATCCATTCGAATCTAAAATCCTACATCCCAACCGAGCTGAATCACTGCAGTCACGTATGGGTACGTGTTGACAGAGTGCGACGTCCCTTGGAAGCACCGTACACAGGTCCCTTCATGGTTCTGCAAAGGCATTCAAAATTGTTCATAATACAAACCCCGACCGGAGCGGAAAAAGCTGTATCCATTGACAGATTGAAACCGGCACCCATGCCTTGTCAACCAAAACCTCCAGTGGTTGACTCAGAAGTACCGGCCGAAGGTCCCTTCAAGGTTCTGCAAAGGCATCCAAAATTGTTCATAATACAAACCCCGACCGGAGCGAAAAAAGCTGTATCCGTTGACAGATTGAAACCGGCACACATGCCTTGTCAACCAAAACCTCCAGTGGTTGACTCAGAAGTACCGGCCGAAGAGGTTACTCCTGCCAACGAAACACTGCCGGAAAACGCCTCGAAAAGCTCATCTCGAACTGGACGTAGAATAAAATTCAAGAAGGAAGATGATTTCATATACTACTAACGTCAAGAACTAATTCGTGGTTCCACCTTTGGGTAGGGAAGCCATGTAGCAACATCCCGCCTGACTTCGTGAATCAAACCACTTAAGAAACAGTTCATTCTCGTGGTAACTTTGTCATAGCCGTTTTGCTCCTTGTTAGTTCATCACCAGCCCTGTACCTGTAAACTATAAACTTGCCTCACACCGTGCTCCAGCCTCTCCCTAGCCTCTGAGTTTCACTAAACTTTATTCCAGCATTATCAGCTCAATCTTTACAGAATGATGTTGACCAAGATGATCATTACTGGCTAGTGCTCGAATGATATTCACATCAATGCGATAATCCTAAGCGAAACTAACTTGCTGAAAATTAATTTCAACAAGTTTGCAGTGAGACATGAATATTTCTGTTATTTTTATTGACGTCGAGAGTCATTTCAGGCGGAAAAAAATCTCCTGACATTTTCGAATATTCTACCAGTGTTTGTAACATTGCTTTGAGTAAACCAAAATTATTTTCAAGGCAATACATATCTCAAGGGATCATTTATCTCACACTCCTAGATAAAAATAGGATTCCGGCTCCGAAATATGAATAGCGGTATTGGAGAGCACGCTAATTTCGGAAATTTTTAGCCCTGTCATATATGGTCTAAGGGGAATATGGTAACCCTAGCATCTTTTCTGGTCAAACATTTCAGCCGCTGCCTCACTGACAGTGTGGTTGCGATGAACTTTAAATGATCTTCCACTATGCCGCTAATGAAAAAACAGACCTTGAGGCATTTGATCCCAAATCTTATCGACCTATCTCCAGCCTGTCGATTTTGTCGAAACTCCAGGAATGTGTTGTGGTCCGACAAATGAACAACCATCTTCAGTAGTCCGGTCTCATGCCTCGCCTCCAGTCTGCATACCGTCATCTCCACTCGACGTACACCGCTGTGCTTAAGATGCTTTGAGACCTGCGCGCAGTAGACCTCGGCGACATTGCGGCACTAGCTTTACTCGACTTATCGGCCACGTTTCACACGGTCGATCCTGCCACTTTATTGCGTCGACTTGACGTATCGTTCAGCCAGCCGGCACTGTGGTGCGGAAGTTTGAGTCCTATCTCAGCAATAGATTCTAATGCGTTAGACTAGGGAACTTTTTTCTGCGCAATCGTTGGTCACCTGGGGCGTTCCCCAGGGATCAGTTCTCATTTCACATAATTGATTCATATAGTTTTAATCCGCATATGTTTGCTGACGACACCCAAGTTTATGGCTACTGTGCACCGGCTGACGCTGCAGCGTTGCAAGACCGGATGTCTGTCCGCATGGACGCCGCCTCAGACTGGATACGCTCCAAGCGGCTCCAGTTCAATGCATCAAAAACTGACTTTATTTGGTTTGCGACTGTTGGGCGCCAGCTTCAGCTTTGGGCCAACCCTGTAGGTAGCTGGTCTTAAAAGTCATTTCAATGAAGATGTAGTGAATTTAAGTGATATTTTCTTTGCATATAAATTTTTCATAACAGTTTGCTGCATGAAAAATTGCATTAATTTCATGTGGTTTAATTTATATCATAAAATATTGAAGTCAGCCAAAGTCATAATGTTATGGGTGAATGTAGCTGTATAATAGAAACTGAGTCCTGAACAATGAAATTTGTGCATGTTAATGTTTCATAATGTATATTATTCTTGCAGTATGTACTTCTATTCTTACGATGATAAGAGATTCAAAAAATACAAATTGAAATTTCACTCAACATTTAAACCATGAAAATAAACTGCATTCACTATACCGTGTCCTTCAAAAATTACATGTAGCCGAATCTAAAGGTAATAATAAATAAAAATTGCATTCAGCTGAGTCTACAGTTGATAATAAATAAAAAATACATTCAGCTGAATTTAAAATTACAAGTAAATAAAAAATTACATCAAACCGAATCCAAAGTTAATAACAAAGAAAAATTGCATTTTGCCGCGTCCAAAGTTAACAAGAACATTCAGCGACTCCAAAGCTAATAATAAATGAAAATTACATTCAACCGAGTCTCAAGTTAATAATTTAATGCTGTAATCTCTGTCACCGCTGCACCTTTTCTTTGGACCGCTAATGGTTTTCAACTTTATTAATGATGGCGGTTGATTAACGATGCTAGTCTTTCTTAATACGATTTTTATCTATTGACGTGCTGCTTAATGAACCTTGAGTCCATAATGTTTCGATAATGACATGCGGCATCATTACTTTTAGTTGACACGTGTGTCAACGAACTATCTTTGCCCTTGTACACGATTGTTTTGCTATCAAATAGTTTAATGGTTTTGCAGATAATATATTTTGTTGTGTTTATTTTAGCAGCCATGAGTCACGTGTCGCAGCTGAAGCTTTAAGGTCAAAGTAATCAATAAAAGCTCAATGTCTACATATCAGAACAACTGCTCATACAGAAGATATTTGGCTTCGGTTTCGAACCTCTTCTCGAGAGCAGGGAATTTATTGCTATGCGGCTCATCGGCACCTCGTATTCCCATTCAGGTTATACATGTCGTGCCGAAGTCGCGGAATTGCCGATTCCATGGAATCTGCAGCCAGCTTGCAGGATCGGTAGAATCAGCACTTCTGTACTATAGGAATATAGGGTAAAGTCAGTCAGCCTTGTTTTTTTTTAATATTTAAGTATAAAACCCAAATAAAAATTAAGAGTGGAGCACCTATGTTTTTATGATGGCTATCGGCAGACGCCATAGGTGGAGCAACTATGATTTATACAGTGAATTAAGAGTGGCGTGCACCACCTATCCCACACCTCTAACCTGCTGATGGCCCCCCTAACTAAGACCCTATACTTCATCAATGATTCATCGATGACTGTCTCCTATACTCGCCATCCTCTCGATTTATTGATGTTTTATTGTCGATTTTTGACAGATCTGGCCACCCACAGTTACGCCACCTATAAACTGCTATTGCCACCTATAATCATCGGTGCACCACCCTTAATTTTTATTTGGGAAGAACTCTTACGAACTTGGCCTAACCTTTTCTAACTCTGACTGTCGATTTATTCTAACTCTAACGTCAGATTTTCTGAATCAGCAACGAAATGCTGATTCTGCAGGTTCGGCAAGCTGCTGTCGATTTCATTGATTCGGTAATTCCGTGATATCAACACGACGCACTTATATTGACGTTCAAAGAAGAGCAACTGTGCATCAAGGTGAATAGATGCACATGCATTCTATTATCAGTTAAAATCCTTACAGTTGGTCGATTCACAAAAAAATTGCAATGCATTTTTAAAGAAGCATTCAGATCGATTTAATCAAAGCTCTGACGAAAAGAAGCAACTCGTTCCTTTTTCAAATCGGCAGCGGTTTACAATCAGAAAATGGCGAAGTTTGAAGAGGACGTGCAAAAAAATATAGCTCTTACCAACATACAAGTTTTTTTTAAGAAGATCATGGATTAACAATATTTCTCGAAACTTTGCGCAATCACACAATGGAACACAGATAAGAAAATAAGTGAAGCGAGCTTATCATTAAACATAATGGGTATAAATAGATTTCCTGGTCTTTTCCACAAACTCTAAAGGCCTAAATTATGTGCAATTTACTTGTTCAGCAGATACTTCGGGGCGCGGGGGTTGCAATTTCTTCATTTGTGATCTCAAACCCTAAGAAGACGCAACTCCACTTGAAGTAATTGTACAAAAGATGCATGGACTGTAATTATCAGCCAGCAGTGCGTGTATTTAACAGGAGACACGCAGAAAAAACATAGCAGGTACCAAAAACGAAAGCTTTTTGGCCGATCCGCAGCCCGCTAAGCAATTCGAACTCCCATTGTGATACGCATGCAGTATTGGCCCTAAGTAATACACACCCATACACCCCCGAGTTTTGTAAGTTTGAATGTATACTGTAACGTGGAAAGGAATATGTAGACAGCCTATGGATTTTAACGATTGCAACTAGCATGTAACCTAGAACGTCACACGCTTGAATGTTCATTGTAATGTGGAATCAAGCCATTAGGCAGCTCCTGAATTATAATTGTAACGCTGACACCGTACGACTTAGAATGATGATGTCGAGGTGCAAGTTCAGCTATACAAACTCAGATTGTGATCATTTGCGATCTAAAGTCATCAGTCACATTATCAGCTTAGACGTCTCAGCAAATATGGAGCGTCTCTTTAAGAGTTCGCCACTCCACCTGAACCAACGCTGTAATGAAAAAAAAATTTATAACACAAATTGAGGTTCTTCAAGAAAATAACTTTCCATGGAAAAAATTATAAAATTCAAACATAATTCTATCTCATACGCCTATTTTTCTACTTTATTTTTATATATTTATAATTTTTTTCAGACAGAAAATTTAAATTTTCCTAACTAACAGTTAAATCCAAATGTCAACATTTTATTGTGGAGCTAGATGCCATTAGCTGTGGAGACGAATGATCTCTGACAGACAGCTGTGGGCCCGCTATCGGCAAATAAAACCAGCTGCTTCAATAATACCATACAGCTATAAAGTCAGACCATGTATCGTACCAAGTCACAAGAGTTCTAACAGCCTTTCGTTCACGACGTGTTGTGCCTTAGCCTCTTACCGCTTAAGCCTTTGCGACTACCAACATGATGAAATCTGTCGGTCTTGTCCTTCTTCTCACGGCAGCCTTTGCCTACTCCGGTGTTGAAGGGTAAGTGAACTCAGCAGTTGCATTCGGACGCTGTACTCTTCCCTCCTGTTCACCTTTATCTTAAATTATTAGATGATATTGCTTTGTGCTCTAATTTTGTTCAGATACTACAATTCAGTCCTGAAAAAGTTACCATAAGGTTACATTTGGAGCTTTGGGTATTACTTGTTTTCCTGACTAAATAGGAAATGTTCATCTTTTGATGTTACTCACCTGAACTACTTGTTTGTATTCATTTCTTTCCCCCAGTACAAGTGCGTGTGCTGAGTCCATAAACGCCGTATTGGGGTACGAATCCAGGATTCCTATCATCAACGCCTGCAAGGTGGATCCAAAGGCAAATGCCTCCTTGAATGCCCTCGCAGGTTAGATATTGCAAGATTTATTGCCAGCAATTGTTTGATCTGAACTTGTCTACCAATGTGTCCAAAATATGGGCAATTCACCCAATTGATTTTTTTGTGTTTTAAAGTCAATTTTGAATTTTTTCTTTTAAATTATTGGTGTTATCAAGAGATATATCGTAAAATAGCAAGTGGAACCATCGTAAATTCATGAGAGATCTAAATAATAAGTAGCAATTTACGTGTTCTGCAGGTAATCCTGCCTGCAAAGACTACAAGTTCAGTACCCGCAATCGCAAGTGCGAAGTTCTCGCAGCTCCCTGCATGAAATGGGTAGCGAAACAACTTGGTTTTGTAAGTCATGAAATATCGCTATTGTGCCTTTTCATCATCTGTCATGAACTCTACTCTGAATATTAGCTTACCCTATTTGCGGTGTTGAACAGTTAAAAATGTGACCAACGCTATATTTAGTTGACCATGAAAATTTCTATTTCAAACAATATCATTAGTTATTAAATTATATTATGAAGTTTCAACCCTAGTAAATGTGAATACAGCACTTATTCATTTATTTCTAGTTGACGGCTGATGGCTCCATCGACAACACTATGATCTTCCTCCAGTACAAGGCTTTCATCAAAGCCAACCCTGCCTGCAACGCTGCTCAGTACGACTACGCTGTGAAAAAATGCGAAAAGAAAATCAAGAACTACGCGGTAAGTTTTTCTTGCCTTGGCAGGACACGCACAAAGTTATTTCATAGCAGGACAATGAGTTAAGATTAAGTCAAACTGAATTTATGTCAGATGGTATCTTGGAAGCTGAGTGATAGTTTGATTTACGAGTATGTGGAAACATGCAGATCATTTTTAGTTCCAATGGCAATACGTGTCGAAATTTGAGACTATCCAGCAAGTTGCTTTGATCTGGTCATCCCCTTTTCTAATGCCAATGTGACATATGATTACCTGTGGATCTGTGTCGTATTTCGTTCTACCTCTAATATTCCTTTTAATGATATTGCGGAGAGTTATCACTAAAATTCTAAGCATTCTTTCACTTCGTTCCACTACAACTGAAGAATCACTTAATGCCATGAACGCTTTTGTTGATAAAACGAACTATCACAAACAGTTAATAAAGAAGGCTGCTTGCATGGCCAACGCGACGGACAAGTACACTGGCTAACCTGCACAATCTGTCCTCATTCCTTCATCTGACAGGCGGCTTTGAAGTGTTCACAACAGGTGCACAATAATAATTAGGTGACCACTTCCTCCAGTCAATGTGTGCATTCGCAGTAGAAATTGTCTAATCGGAAGATCATTGTAGTCTGCGAAACAATAAAAGCAATAAAGTCCTACTATTACCAGGATCAGATTAACAATTATTATTTTATTCAAAAATTAAATGAAAACAGTTATGAAGAAGTGAAGCATTTCGCGATGTACTGATTTACATATACAATATTTCATATATATAATATATATTTTGTGTCAAGAAATTGTCATTTGATGCAGTTAAAATTATTAGAATTCGTTAAGTTCAATAATTTAATGTTGCTTAAATATAAGTTCAAATAAATAATCTTGTAACCAATCATTTTTAAACTTATATATAATCAGAAATCATATCATAATGTTTTTAGCGTTCCATGCACTTCAAAATTAGTGGCTCGTTGTTGTCCTTCGAACCTCTGCACTTGTTTTTTCTTCTTCTGACAGATTGAAAACGTTGATGAACACTTCAACAATGAAACTTTTTATTATTTCGCCCAAGCTGTTCAAAATAATTTACAATACATTATCTGCATGAATGTTGTTTGATTGACCCTTTTCTTGTAGATAAAATGTTGGGTTGTCTGTTGCCCAAATCTCTCCACGTTGAACGCGCATTCAAATCATGAGGTTATTACAAATATTTTTAAATAAATATACATAAGAAAAGTAAACAAAAGAAACCCAAGTAACCAATAGCTACATGTAATGTGGCAGAGATGGGATGCATTAATTTTCGAGAGACACGTCGCTGTCTGTAACTTGAAGTAAGTTTCAACACATGCCAAACATGCATTTGGGGACAGAGAAATGTTGGAGAGACGTCTTAAGGGCCTAAGGCTGAAATGATAACTGGAATGAAGGAGAGTGGTTGAAGAGAAGCCATATTTGTACGTCGAATACCATTTGTTTCTACAAGGAAACATGAAACACACAGACTTCACTGTCAATTAGAGCAATTTTCGAATCGGTAAATGGAATAATGTTGATCAAAATGATCATTACATGGCAATGCTCAAATTATATTAACATCAATGCAATCATCCTAAGCGAAACTAACTTGTTGAAAATTAATTTCAACAAGTTTGCATTCGGAAATGAATAATTATGAGATTTGATGGAAATCGTGAGTCATCGTTATATTTCAGACGGTAGAAATATTTCCTGATATTCTTAAATATTCTGGCAATGTTTGTTACATTACTGTGAGTCAACCCAATTTTTGTTTAAGGTGATCGACAGCTCGAAAAATCATTTATCCCACACTCCCGGATAAAATAAATTATTCCGGCTTCGATATATGAATAGCGGTTTTGTCATTTTTAGTTTTGTCATATATAGGGGTAAGGAGAATGTCGTAACCCTAGCAACTTTTCTGGTCAAGCTCTTCAACCGCTTGACCGCACTGACGGTGGTGTTCCGAATAAATTCCAAATCATTATGCCTCTACATTATGCCTCTATTAAAAACAGACCTTGACGCATCTGATCCCAAATCTTATCGACTTATCTCCAGCCTGTCAATTTTGTCGAAACTCCTGGCACGAGTTGTGGTCCGACAACCGAACAACCATCTCCAGCAGTCCGGTCTCATGCCTCGCCTCCAGTCTGCATACCGTCATCTCCACTAGACGGAAACCGCTGTGCTGAAGGCGCTTTTAGACATTCTGCGCGCAGTAGTGCGCGGCGACAACGCGGCACTGGCTTTCTTCGACCTGTTGACCGCGGTTGACACAGCCAACCACGCCACTTGAATGCGTCGACTTGACGCATCATTCGGCCTGCGCGGACCGAATCGACACTTCTCTGGACCCACCTGCAAATTTGCCTGCGGTCTCAAACGCAAAACCTAACTACACGCTCAATTTAACCTTTGATAAGTCCTTATAGTGAACGGATTTGCTTGAGTTTTGTAATATACGTAGTTATCAAAACGCTGCGGCAGGAATTACTACAGATTTTTACATTAATTAGTTTTCAATCAAAACGAATAAAAGAATTTTTAAGCAACCTAACCGTTCACAAGTCCTTAAATACTTAACGGATTTGCTCGAAATTTTGAAATATAAGTAGTTTTCATCAATTACCTGAGACAGAAATAGTTACAGATTTTCCAGTACACCGTTTTCAATTAAAACGAAAAAGAACATTTTCAGGCAACCGATGATTTGTCGATTCGGTGAGTTATTAATTGTTCCGTTGCCTGAAAATGGGTTTTTATTTGTTTTAATTGAAAACGATGAAATGAAAATATCCGCAACTATTCACATCGCAGAGCATTGATGAAATCTACTTATATTTCAAATTTCGAGCAGATCCGTTCAGTACTTAAGGACTTATGAGTGGTTAGGTTACTTAAAAATACGTTTATTCGTTTTATTTGAAAACGAATTAATATAAAATATAATAATTTCTGCCGCGGTGTATTGATATTTAATACTCACATTCCAAAAATCAACAAATCCGTTCAGTATTGGAAGAGTTATGAGAGGTTAGGCTGCTTAAAAAATGCGTTTATTCGTTTATATTGAAAACGTATTGATGTAAAAACCTTTAATAATTCCTACCGCAGTGTATTGATAACAATCACTCATATTACAAAATTCAAACAATTTTGTTCAGTATTGAAGGAGTTATTAGTGGTTTGGTTGCTCAGAAAATGCGTTTATTCGTTTCAATTGAAAACTTATCAATGTAAAAATCTGTAATAATTTCTACCGCAGCGTATTAGCAATACCTACTCGTGTCCCAAAATTCAATCAAATCTGTTCAGTATCTAAGGACTTATGATTGGTTAAGTTGAGCGTGTAGTGGGTTTTGCGTTTTAGTCCGCATGCGAGTTCGGACAAGTGTCGATTCAGTCCTGCACGACACTGCGCTGTGTTTCGCAGCAATACATTCCAATGCGTCCGACAAAGAACTCTTCTTCTAATCTACGCCATCATTGATCACCTTCAAGGTACCCAGGTATCAGTTCTCGGCTTGATCCTCATTCTTTTACATATTGTTGACGTATTGCCATAATTGATTCACATAGTTTGACTCCGCATATCTTCGCTGACGACACCCAAATTTATGGCTACAGTGCACCGGCTGACGCTGCAGCGTTGCAAGACCGGATGTCTGTCCACATGGACGCCGTCTCAGACTGGATGCGCTCCAAGCGGCTCCAGCTCAATGCATCAAAAACTGACTTTATTTGGTTTGTGACTGTTGGGCGCCAGCTTCAGCTTCGGGCCAACCCTGTAGGTAGCTTGTCTTCAAAGTCGTTTCAATGAAGATATAGTGAATTTACGTTATAAATATTTGTGCGTATATATTCTTCTTAGCAATTTGGTTTATGTAAAACAGCAGTAATTTCATGTGGTTTAATTTAAAACATAAAATATTGAGGTCAGCCAAAGTCATAATGTTGTGGCCGAATGTAGCTGTGCAATAGAAATTGATTCCTGAATATTGAAATTTGTGTATGTTATTTTGTCTTGATGTATATGAGCTTACAGTTTTTACGATGATAAAAAATTCAAAAAATACAAATTGAAATATCAAGGAACATTCAAACCATGAATATATGATGCTTTTATTCATTATGACTGTAGTGTGTTCCCTAAAAATTACATTCAGCCGAGTCTACAGTTAATGATAAATAAAAATTACATTCAGCCGAGTCTACAGTTAATGATAAATAAAAATTACATTCAGCCGAGTATACAGTTAATGATAAATAAAAATTACATTCAGCTGAGTCTAAAGTTAATAATAAATAAAAATTACATTCAGCCGAGTCTGAAGTTAATAATAAATAAAAATTACATTCAGCCGAGTCTGAAGTTAATAATAATGAAAATTTCATTCAGACGAGCCTAAAGTTACTAATGAATAAATATTCCATTCAGCCGAGTCTTAAGTCAATTTAATACTGTAATCTTTGTGATCGCTACACCTTTTCTTTGGACCGCTAATGGTTTTCAACTTGATTGATGATGGCGGTTGATTAACGATGCTAGTCTTTCTTCATATAATTTTCATCCATTAACTTGCTTCGTAATGAACCTTGTGTCCATAATGTTCCGATAATGACATGCGGCATCATTACTTTTAGTTGACACGTGTGTCAACGAACTGTCCTGGCCCCTGGACACGATTGTTTTGCTACCAAATAGTTTAATAGTTTTGCAGATAATATATTTTGTTGTGTTTATTTTAGCAGCCATGAGTCACGTGTCGCAGCTGAACCTTTAAGGCCAAAGTAATCAATAAAAGCTCAATGTCTACATATCAGAACAACTGCTCATACAGAAGATGTTAGGCTTCGGTTTCGTACCTCTTCGATCTAGAAAGTAGGGAAATCATTGTTTTGTATTTACCATGAATAATTTTTGCCGGTATTTCGTGATAGGAACGAGTTTTCTTCAATTCATGGCGTTTTGAATGGCTCAAAAAGAAATCTTTTACGCCGACCTGCAGCCAGCTACGCTATTCGAACTCCCATTTTGATACGCATGCAGTTTTGGCGTTCATTGATCCCGTGAAACCCTGAGTTGTGAGAACGAATGTGTATTGTAATGTGAATAGGAATATCGAGACAGCCTATTTATTTACGCGATTTAACCAGCATGCAACCCAGAATGTCACACGCTAGAAGGTTTATTGTAATGTGGAATCGAGTCATGCGGCAGCCAATGAATTATTATGATAATGCTGACACAACTCACTGCCACCGTACAAGTTAGAATGATGATGTCGAGGTGCAAGTTCAGCTATAAACAAACTCAGATTGTGATCATTTGCGATCCAAATTCATCAGTCACATCATCAGCTTTGACGTCTTCGCAAATATGGAGCGTCTCTTTAATTAAGAGTTCGCCACTCCACCTGAACCACCGCTGAGCACCGAGGATATCTTCTTCATATCAGATATACGATACATACATGTACGTGTGTTGAAAAAAATTGTTCCAATACAAATTGTGGTTCTTTTAGCAAATAACTTTCGATGAAAAAAAAATTAGAAAAGGTAAGCATAATTCTATCATATTCGCTTATGTAACCACTTTATTTTAATTATTGTTACTTTTTTCAACCAGAAAATTTAAATTTTCTTAACAATCCGTCAAATCCAAATGTCAACATTTGATTGTGGAGCAAGATGCCATTAGCAGTGATGACGAATGATCTCTGACAGACATCTGTAGGCGCGCTACCGGCAAATAAAACCAACTGCTTCAATAATATCATACAGCTTATAAAGTCAGACCATGTATCGTACCAAGTCATAAGACTTCCAACAGCCTTTCGTTCACGACGCGTTTTGCCTTTGCCTCTTACCGCTTAAGCCTTTGCGACTCCCATCATGAAGAAATCTGTCGGTCTTGTCCTTCTTCTCACGGCAGCTTTTGCCTACTCCGGTGTTGAAGGGTAAGTGAACTCAGCAATTGCATTCGGACGCTGTGCTTACCCCTTCCGTTCACCTTTATCCTAAAAAATTTGATGATATTGCTTGGTGCTCTAATTTTGTACAGCCACTACAACTCAATGCTGAAATAGTTGCGAAAATGTTGCATTTAGAGCTATGAATAATACTTGTTTCCCTGACTAAAATGTGAAATATTTATCTTATGATGTTACTTACGTGGTTTATTTGTTCGTATTCATTTCTGTACCCAAGTACAAGTGGGTGTGAAAATGGCCTAAACTACGTGGCGGCGACCTTATACGAAAGACCTGTCTTCGGCGTCTGCAAGTCGGATCCAGAGGGAAAAGCATCCTTGGCCGCCCTCGCAGGTTAGATATTGCATGATTTATTACCATCAATTGGTTGATCTGAAATTGGGCAATTCGCCGAATGGATATTTTTCGTTTCCACTACTCAGTTTTAGACTTATTCTTTTTAATTTTTGGTGTTATTTAGAGACGTGTCGTGAAATAGTGAGTAAAAAGATCGTAAATGCATGAGAGATCTAAAACAATATGTAGCAATTTACGTGTTTTGTAGGTAATCCTGCCTGCAAAGACTACAAGTTCATTACCCGCCATTGCGAGTGCGAAGTTCTCGCTGCTCCCTACATGAAATGTGTTGCGGGAAAACAGGGTTTCGTAAGTCTGGAAATATCGCCAAGATGCTTTTTCATCATCTGTCATGAACTCCACTTTGAATATTAGCTTACCCTATTTGTGGTGTTGAACTGCTTAAAATGTGACCAACGCTATATTTAGTGATATCAGAGATATCTATTTCAAACAATTTTAAATAATAAACAATTCAATACATAACAATAATAATACGATACATAACAAACAATAACAATTCAATTAATCAATAAACAATTTGAATAATAACAATTAGTTATTATATTATATTATGAAGTTTCAGCCCCAGTAAATGTGAATACAGCACTCATTCATTTATTTCTAGTTGAAGGCTGATGGCTCCATCGACAGCGAGAAGATCATAGGCTTGTACAAGATGTGGACCAGCAAAGCCTGCGACGTCGCTCAGTTCGACTCCGCTGCGAAAAAATGTGGCACTGAAATCGAGAACTACGCGGTAAGTTTTTTTTGCCTTGGCGGGACACGCACAAAGTTATTTCATAGCAGGAGGATGAGTTAAGATTATTTAGAACTGAATTTTTGTCAAATGTTAACTTGGAAGCCGATTGATAATTTGGTATACGAGTACGTGGAAACTTATGCAAATCAACCCTAGTTCATGTGACAATACGTGTCGAAATTTCAGACTATCCAGCAAGTATCTTTAATCTGATATCCCCTTTTCTGATGGCAATGTGATGGATGATTATCTGTAAATGTGTGTTTCATTGCAGATCATTCTACCCATCTCTAATTTATTTGAAAATTTAATTTATTTACCCATCTCTAATTTATTTGAAAAAAAAAATTTTATTTGAATAATATTGCGTAAAGTTATTACTGAAATTCTAAGCAGTCTTTCACTTCTATCCCCTACAACTGAAGCATGAACGTTTTTATTGACATAATGAACGTTTATATGAATTTCTTCATTGACTTGTCAAAATTCGTACATTATATGTCAAAATGAACGTTTTATTGACATGAACGTTTTTATTGACATAATGAACTATCGCAAACAGTACCTAGAGAAGGCCGCATGCATCGCCAGGAAGTCGAAAAATTTCACTGGTTGACCTGCACAATTTTGTCCTCATGCCTTCATCTGACTGCCGGCTTTGAAGTGTTCACAACAGGTGCACAATAATAATTAGGGGACCACTTTCTCCAGTCAATGCGTCCACGTGCAAGAAAAATTGTCTAATCGGAAGTTCATTGTAATTTATGAAACAATACATTCAATAAATTCCTACTTATAATTATATTAGCAATTGTTATTATATTCAAAAGTGAAATTGGAACAGTTCTGAAGAAATGAAGCATTTCTCTTTGTTTTATGTCTAGAAATTTCTATTTGTTGCACTTGAAATTGTTAGAATTCTACTAGTTCAATTCCGTGTGGCTTGAATGTAAGTTCACTTGCATTAGCGTGCGATCATTATAAACTTATATATTATCATGAATCATAATGCTTTTAGCGTTCCTTGCACTTCAAAATGAATGACTTGTTGTTGTCCTTCGATTCTCTGCCCTTGTTTTTTCTTCTCCTGACAGGTTGAAAACGTTGCTGAACACTTCAACAATGGAACTTTTTATTATTTCACCCAAGCTGTGCGAAATAATTTACAATACATTATCTGCATGAATGTTGTTTTGATTGGCCCTTATGTTGCGGATAAAATGTTGGGTTGTTTGTTGCCCAAATCTCTCCGTGTTGAACCCGCATTCAGATCATGAGGTTATTACACAAATGTATTAAGTAAAATACGCATAAGAAAAGTAAACACAAGAGACCCAAGAAACCAATAGCTACATTTAAGTGGCAAAGATGACATGCATTTAGTTTCGAGAGACACGTAGCTGTCTGTAACTTGAAGAAAGTTTCACGAACATGCATTTGGGGACAGAGAAATGTCAGAGAGACGTCGTAAGGGCCTATATATAAGGATGAAGTGATAACTGGAATGAAGGAGAGTGGTTGAACAGAAGCCTTATTTGTACGTCGAATACCATTAGTTTCGACAAGAAAACATGAAACATGCAGCATTTATTGTCAATTCGAGCAATTTTTGAATCGATAAATGGAATAATGTTGATCAAGACGAACATCACATGAAAATGCTCAAATGATAGGAACATCAATGCGATTATCCTAAACGAAACTAACTCGTTGAAAATTACTTTCAACAAGCTTGCATTGAGACATGAATAATTCTGTGATATGATAAAACTCGAGAGTCATCTTTACATTTCTGACTGAAACAATATTTCCCAACATTCTTAAATGGTTTTCCAATGTTTATTACATTGCTTTGAATCAACCCGACATATGTTTAAGGCAATTGATATCTCTAGGGATATTTATCCCACACTCCTGGATAAAAAATAATTCTTGCTCCGAAATACGAATAGCAGTATTTGAGAAAACGACAATTTGGAAGATTTTTAGCCATGTTAACTAAGGGCTAAGTGAAATGTCGTAACCCTAGGATCTTTTCCGGTCAAACTCAAACTTTTAACCGCTGCCTCACTGACGGCGTTGTTCGGATAAACTTCGAATCAGCTCACATTATGCCTCCATTGAAAAAACAGACCTTGACACTTCTGATCCCAGATCATATCGACCCATCTCCAACCTGTCGATTTTGTCGAAACTCTTTGCACGAGTTGTGGCCCGACAGCTGAAGAACCATTATCTTCAGCAGTCCGGTCTCATGCCTCGCCTCCAGTATCCATACCGTCATCTCCACTCGACAGGTGCTTTCAGACATTCTGCGAGCAGTAGACCGCGGCAACATTGCGGCACTGATTACTCGACCTGTCGGCCGCGTTTAACAGACACTATCGATCACGACATTTTAATGCGTCGACTTGACGTATCATTCGGCTTGCGTGGCACTGTGCTGCGGTGGTTCGAGACCTATCTCAGCAATATATTCCAATGCGTTCGACAAGGGAACTCTTCTTCTACACCATCATTGGTCACTTGCGGCGTACCCCAGGGTCACTTCTCGGCCTGATCATTTTGTTATATACTGTCGACGCATTACATACAATTGATTCGCACAGTTTGAATCCGTGTATCTTCGCTGACGACACTGGATGACGACACTTCGCTGACGTCCCAGACTGGATGCGCTTCAACCGGCTCCAGCTCAATGCATTAAAAACTGACTTTGTTTGGTTTGTGACTTCTCGGCGCCAGTATCAGCTTCCGGCCAACCCAGTTCGCGTGGGCAACGAGTTCGTCTTGCTGTGCCTCCGGTTCGTTACCTCGGCATTCTACAAGACTCTGAATTTTTCACGAACAATCACATAGCCAAAGTCACCACCGCTTGTTTTGGCTCTCTACGACGAATACGTAGCGCCAGCCGCTGTCTCTCGAGGCCCTAGTCGTGGCGCCGGAAAATAATTTATTTGATCATCAGAAATTCTTCTAATATATCTAAATTATTTTGGAAAATACAGAAATAGCATCTATAACGTAATGCATGAACAACACTTATATGGAGAGATTTAATTTTTGAAAGTTATTTTCAGATGGGATCTTGCTCGTTGCGTGGGAGGCTTGATTAACCGAGCTGTGGTAGTTGGTGCACTTCAACACAAGCAAGATCTGACCGCCGGATTGGATCCATGTTGGAATTTCAAAAGTTAAACATATATAATTCATTCACTCGACCGTGTTCCTTAAAAATTAGACTTAGCCCTGTCTAAAGTTTATGATAAATAAATATTTCTTTCAGCCGAGTCTAAAGTTAATTTAATACTGTAATCTCTATGATCGCTACACCTTCTCTTTGGACCGCTAATGATTTTTAACTTTATTAATGATGGCGGTTGATTAACGATGCTAGTCTTTCTTCATATGATTTTCATCCATTAACTTGCTCCGTAATGAACCTTGAGTCCATAATGTTTCGACAATGACATGCGGCATCATTACTTTTAGTTGACACGTGTGTCAACGAACTGTCTTGGCCCCCCTGTACACGATTGTTTTGCTATCAAATAGTTTAATGGTTTTGCAGATAATATATTTTGTTGTGTTTATTTTAGCAGCCATGAGTCACGTGTCAGTTAAACATTTTCGGTGGTTAAGTTTAATACATCAATCATTAATTATTATAACAATCATCAAATTCAACTTTTGTATATTCAAGTTGTATACGTACTATAGATAAGATTGACTCTTTATAATTGAAATAAAGAATTTGATCACATAATTTTCATCTTCAACATTTTTAGAAGGGTCAAGTTTGTTTCCTTCCTTTTCGCAATACTTAATACGTTAATTATGATCATCTGAATGGTTTTATAAATTGTATGAAGTTGGCGTGATTGTTCTGGATAATTTTCAGCAATTTATATTCCGAGTTACATATATTTTAATTTCAGGTATATTGGGTGTCTATATAGCGTTTATCTTCATGTTATCACTTGTTTTCAATTGTTTCACACAAGTTCAGTCAAGTGTTTTTGATGCTTTAAAATCAGCTATCAAATGAGTGGTTAATGCAATCTAAAACATTTTATCGAATTTAAAGGAAAATTATCATTTCCTTTTAGTCGTCAGGAAATCGGTTGTTTATACAATATATTGAATATTCAAAATTTGTGCGTTCAAAATACATACATGAACATAGACAAATACATATTGAATGTTCAACATACATACATACATAAAATATGTAAAACGTATATTTTCAAACCATGCTATATCAAATTCAACTCGCTCCCAAATCAGGCACTTCAACTTGAATTTTCTGATAAAAATTCAAATAGTAACGAGATGATTTACACCTCTGATCGTGCCAGTTCCAATAGTAACATTGATGTCCTGTTATGTTAATATTACTTCATTTGATCATTGCATGAATAGCGTTGTTAGTCTCCTCCGAGGTGAGTTTGCGAGCCATGCTTACCTCTCATCGTTGACATAAACGCGACAGACCGTAATTATCATATAAATATTATTGGCTCCAGCTTCCAGCTGGTCCTTCACCGGCAACCGGAAAACTGACCGTTGTTTAACCAGCGTAGTGACCGAGCGGAGTAACTTAGTATCCTTATCCTCAGTATCATTGTATTTTTATCCTTAGTATCCATAGTATCCTTAGTATCCTTAGTAGCCTTATCCTTAGTATCCTTAGTATCCTTAGTATCCTTAGTATCCTTAGTATCCTCAGTATCCTTAGTATCATTGTCCATATTATCCTTAGTTTATGCTTCGGACGTAGCAGCCCCAGGCCACGCTGGACGTAGCAGCCCCAGGCCACGCTGGATCGCCGCTCGAGGGAATAAGTTTACGAGGGCTGGGGTAGAGATCAGTAGAACTCTTGCACCGTGCAGCTGCTTGTAGGCCTATTAAATACTCTCAATGTTTATATTATAATGATTATATTATAGGCCGGTCACTGTCTTCGTGTCCCGTGTGTCACTACTCTTAATGATAATACATCAGATGTCACACTCTTATTAATTGATCTTGAGTTCATTTAGTAATATTATTTCATTTATTTTAGTTGTTTATTATTTTTTTTAAAGATTTCCGTGTATATTCGTAGGGCTATCAACTGTCATTAACTGGTCCATGAGCTAGGTTCTCCAAACCAGAAACTCAAATTAATGTTTGAGCCTACGAGGCTATCAGGGAAAAAGCCTATAACAAATATCCGGCTCTGAAGTTTATCAGTGTTCCTGATATCCTCATGTTCCTGAAATTTATCATTGTTCCTGATATCCTCATGTTCCTAAACTTATCAGCGGCTTTTAGCGGCTGAGCCTAACACCTGGAGCGACATTGGTCATGTCGTTTCTAAAATTTCAAGTCATTAAATGTATTGAACAAAGTTACCAGATCTAATAATTGTAATTGAATTCAGCTAAAAGCTAAAAAGAGCGAAAAATTCGTCGGAATTCCTAAGTAGAAATTTCTGGTTCGCTGACAAATCTACGGGAAATACTCCGAAGATTTAATTACCTTTTGTCCCAGCTGATCATCGTTTTCAAGCGAGGTGATATTATTGTTTTCGATGCAGATATATAATGTTGCTCTAAAATATTTATCCAGTTTTAAAGAACTGTTGTGAATAGATTATATACTTTATAACAGAATAGATTTTATCTATTTTACCGATTTCAGTTGAATTTAATAACCACTGTGTGATTATTTCAGACTAATCTTTTCTATAAGCAAGTTCTATTCTATATTGAGAAGACACATCTTTTTCATTCATATTTTGAGATAACGTACGTTTTAAGTTAAGTATATTGAACGTTAAGTAAACATAAGCATACATAACAAAAGAGTCTTTTCTACGTCATCACTATACACAAACGAAATCGAACGACAAATTATCAAAATATCTATTAAATTATCAATAAAAATATAATATTATATTTTACACTTCTGCTTACATGTTCTGAATCGATAAATATATTGTATTATTCAGTCCAGCGTGAAATATTTGAACATTATATTATCGGATTTATGAACATTATATTATCGGAAATATTTGAACATTATATTATCGGAAATATTTGAACATTATATTATCGGAAATATTTGAACATTATATTATCAGAAATACTTTAACATTATATTATCGGATATATTTGAATATTATGTTATCG